GTCTAAATATGTCAAGTTGGGGGGGGGCTAGAAATTCCTGTCGATAAATGAATAGGGTTAATTTCAATAGCATTACATAGTAAATATAGACATTTACAATCGGGAAAAACGAAACAGAGAGCACAGAATAAAAGGAGTAAACATGACTGCGATACTTACTTACTTACTTACTTACGCCTGTTACTCCCAATGGAGCATAAGCCGCCGATCAGCTTTATCCAACACACTCTGTCCTGGGCCTTCCTTTCTAGTTCTATCCAACTCTTGTTCATTCTTCTCATATCTCTCTCCTTTTCTCGGCTTAATGTATTCTCTGGTCTTCCTCTTCTACTTTGGCCTTCAGGATTTCATGTGAGGGCTTGTCTTGTGACGCAGTTGGGTGACTTCCTCAAGGTATATCCTATCTACTTCCATCGCTTCTTCCTGATTTCTTCCTCCTCTGAAATCTGGTTAGTTGTCTCTCACAGTAACTTGTTGCTGATAGTGTCTGGTCAACGGATCCGAAGTATTTTGCTTAGACAACTGTTAATAAACACCTGTATCTTCTGGATGATGGATTTCATAGTTCTCCACGTCTCCGCCTCATACAGCAGAACTATCTTGACATTTGTCAAGACGCTAACCATAAAAATGACTCCAATAGATTTGCCATAATATAGTTAATAAGCTCTTTTATCACCTATAGCTTTGGATAGATTTTGTTTAAATTAGTTGAATTAACCAAAGTAGTTTCGGTGTAAAGCAGCTGATGAAGGTAATTATACTCATTAAAAAACAATAATCTGAAAATTTAATAACCCTATAATTTCATTGGTGAATTGGCATGTAGTCATGGCTACATGTAATTTCAAGGCCATTTAAGAGTACAGGTAACAATTAATGTAGCGAACAAATGAAAAAAAATGTAATTTGATTTCAAAGACAGAATGCATCAAACGATTACAGAGTTTCGAAAATTTACTTAAAAGAAGACGTGACCTATCCCTTTCTATATGGAACTATGAATACTGTAACTAGGGTTTTACTCATATTGGATTGTAGCAGTGAATGTGAAAGGTAGTCTATTTCATGTTTTGAGGAAACGATTAAATTCAGTTGGAATTTACTCCTCCATAAATGGTCAAGCCCAGACTTAATGAGTGTACATTTATAGTTCGAAGGATAATCAATCTAAAGAATTGTAGTGTGTAAATTGTCAGTGAACAGATTTCAATCCAAGTTTATGTTTTATAAAAACACTACTCAGAATAGAAATGTAATATTATCAGAAAGGGATTTTGTGGAGATTTTAGTAATTTTATAGTTAAAATCATGAACCAGTTGAAGCTAGATCACCATGGAAAACCTGGAAGCACTAGACGGTTGTTTCGTCCTATCGTGGGACTCCTCAGTAGTGCTCATCCATTATCCCGCCTCGCGAGATTCGAACTCGAGACCTATCAGTCTTGCGCCAGAACACTTAACCGATAGACCACTGAGCCGGCATCCGAGAGGTATATCCAGGAGTTCCAGTGAGGAGCAGTGACCAGTTGAGTTCAAACCACGTCTGTTGTGAGATAGGAACTCACTGAAGACAATTGATGAACGGTTACATACTGTTGTTTGTAAACGATTCATTTTGACTTATATCTGATCAACTTTTTGAATGATTCATTTAGATAAGATGATTGTAGAAACTGAAGAGATTTCATTGAAAAGTATATTCTTCATTCATATGAAATTGAGAATTACCTGGTGATTAAAATCTCTTTATTATTTGACAGCTGTGTCGAAACGAGCAACGAAGTCAAGTGAGGAAGACCAATTTATTGCTTAATGCACAATCACATAGCAAATTCATTTAGTATTGTTTGTTTGAATCTTCCCATCGATGTGTTGGGACTGCAACTGTTCAGTCTCTAATTGGCATATGTGTATACTGTGCGTAATGCCTCGATATAGCCTTAATTCAAGTGGACTCAGGACTCAGTGGCCGAGTGGATAACATGATGGCGTTTGAAGAGAAAGGTACTGGGTTCAAGTCACAGAGTGAACATCAACTCTGAGATTCTGGTACATCTATCTGACGAATCCCCATTAGGACGAAAAGCGCATCAAACTGGATTGCACTATTAGCCACTATCCATCTCTACCTACCAATCACATAGTAATTTATTAAAATCATACATTATTTGAGCATCTTCTTTGAATTTTCTCTTACAAGTTTGATTGTTCTTTCATTTCTGTTGTTATCTTGATTACTTTCAGTTTTCTTCTCAATTCTCTTCATTTCATTCCTTTTAACTTTCAGTTTGTCGACATTCCACTTCCAATTGTTGTCACATACTACTTATATCTATCGAAATAAGTAGTATACATTACATTTCTGAATATTGTGCATCAAAAGTGAATACGAAAAGTTCATAGAATTCGATATCTCTCCAACTTTATAAGTAGCTTATAAAGTAATCATATGAATATAATTTTTTCTTTTAAACTGTCATATATACAGTCAGCAGAACCTTTATGCAATTATTCATGCCCTCATTTATGAAATATTTGTACATGATCTTTATTGTTACTTTGATGATAGATACAAGTTCAATCAAATGAACCTTAATGACAATTCAAGTTACATTTTGTTTCTTACGAGATTATGTAATCACTTTTAATAAATAATTGCATAAGATTATTACTTCATTTGTTCTATCTATCAATATTCTGTATTACGTAACTTGTTTTGCAGTTTATTCTTCTATAATTGAAATCATGAGTTAATTGAAGCTAGACCACCATGGAAAACCTGGAAGAACTGAACGGCCATTTCATCCTATTCTGAGACTTTTCAGCAGTGCGCATCCATTATCTTGTGCGCAAGACTGATAGGTCCTGGGTTCGAATCTCGCGAGTGCGGGATCGTCGATGCGCACTGGTGAGGAGTTTCACAATAAGACGAAAAGGCCGTCCAGTGCTTCGAGGTTTTCCACGGTGTTCTGGCTTCAATTGACTCATGATTTCAGCTATAAAATTACTTAAATCTCCATAAAAGCTCCTTCTGTTTATTCTTCTATTATACCTAATGTTGAACTTTTGTTTTTTACCATTTAAAATGATTCCTTTTCAATTCCTATGAGTAATTATTACGAAATTCAATCACATACTAACCAAAATTTATTAAGTGAGTACACCAATTGATCACTGAGTAGCAGTCAAATCTATGTTTAACTTGTCTTCAATGTTGATCGTATTCTACTTATCTGGTTATAAAGCACTGAATTCAATAACTTCTTCGAAGGAATGTCTTGATTTGATTTGTTTAAACAATCATGGAATGAATTTCTATTTGGGGATCAGTAAAGCAGTAAGTGTTCGAATAGTTGAATATACACATGTTAATTTATGACAGTGAATGGGGTAGCTTTCAGCCCCGTGGGGACCGCCATTTCGTTTCAAACTTTTTCTAATGATGAGTTCCAAACATATTGAAGCTCATCTCAAAGAGGACTTCCCGCTAACTGTCTCTGACAACCTAATTTATAAATCGACTACTATTGAATTGTTATATAAAATATTTCCTTATCCAAGAGATGATAGTGAAGTTTTCGAAACCAACATGCCTTTTAGGGATAAAAGTCAGTAACCAAATACAGTTCCCTTAACGTGTTTTGAGCAAGACCTCACGTGCAACGCTTGGTGAAAATCTATTAAAATCAATGGTAATAGAGTATGGCTTGAACCTGTAATACAGTGATGGAAGAACGAGTGACATATATAAATATAAATTCAACTAACAAAAAGATCCCCCTGAATCAGTAATTACAATGAGTTCTGTCTGAAAATATTTGGGATTACAAACTGTCATCTTATGAATGAGTGAGTACTGTAGAACTGATTCATATCTAGCATGCTACTACTCAGTCGTGTGTACAAACGACCAATCTGGAGGTCGAATGCACCGTTGTGAAGTTATTAAACTCCACTGACTTGTTATTCATCTGTTGTTGTATCAAACTTGAGTTAACCCTTTGACACTTTCTTGTTAACACTTAAATATGTAAAATACTTAGTAAATCGGACAGAACTATTCAAGCAATACGATGCCATGAGACGTATTCGAGTAACTATTCTGTGATTTACACATAGGACTACTTTTATTTACCCTTAAGAAAATATTTTTTATCGAATCCATGTTGGATGTGAAGCAGTCACCCATCAAAGACTATGAGACATGGTCGCTCAAAGTCGTGGATTAGTTCAAAACAAACATCAACACCGTTAGATTCCGGCTCAATGGTCAATATGTTGAGAGTTCACGTGCAAGACTGGAGGTTCTTGGTTAGTCGGCTGAGTACGAAGTCGTAGATATGCACTCTCTAGGAGCCCTACACTAGGATGAAACAGCCTTCCAGTGCTTCTAGATTGTTCAATTATGGTTGGTTCAGAACTGCAATGAAATTTTCTATAGAAATTAGTTAACTTAAAGTATTTGTTTATAATAGATTTCAATTTATGATGACAATGGTAACTTGTTCATTTCACTTAGTATTGTTTGTTTGAATCTTCCCATTGGTTTCCACGACTGCAATTGATCAGTCTGTTATTGGTATATATGCTTACTATGCGTATTGCTAAGTGGATAATGCAATGGCGTTTGAAGCGAGGGTACTGGGTTCGAGTCCCAGAGTGAACATCAACTCTGAGATGCAGGTACATCCAGCTGACGAGTCCCAAATAGGAGGAAACGCGCGTCAAACTGGATTCCACTGCTAGCCACTATCCATCTCTGCTTACCATGCTTGTGAATTAAGGTATATCGAGGCAATACGCACAGTATGCACATATGCCAATTAGAGACTGACCAGTTGCAGTCCTAAACACATCGATGGGAAGATTTAAACAAACAATACTAAGTGAATTCAAAAGAACTGTTTGTTACATAAACAAAAAAGGAAAAAAGAAGCATAAGAAGGATTGAACATTAAGTCAAAGTTATTTGTTTTATTATCCATTTACTAAATTGCCTAAATCACCACACATCCACCTTTTTCTTGGAATGGATTATCTTTTTTACTAGCATATCCTGAAACTAAACAATCTTTATCACGATTCTGTTCCATATACACAATCATTTCTTGTACACATTCAGAGACAGGACGACGATCTAAATTAGCTTCTTGACGTAATTGTTCAACTAGTTTACGTTGTTGACTTAAAGTTGACATATTTTTATTTTGACTAAACTGTCACTTCTGTTCAATGATAAATCCTTTAAGACAAAGAAGCAAAACAGACCAATATGTAGGATAGATGAATATTGTAGTGTTTTCAATATAAACATTTAAAGGTTAAGAATATTTTTGGAATAGAGAGAAGTCAGCTAATGGAGTCAATTAATGGATCGCTAGATTGAACCTTGTTCCATCTAACTGATTGGACCAACGTCGCAGCATCAGTCGATGGCTTTCAAGTGTTTATTGTGAATACTAGTCCGTAATTAGGGGAGAGTGTATTTATCAATAACTGTCAACATTAGCTAAACTGTACTTAGTAAAATCAGTAAGATACATCAATCTAAGCAGTTTCAATGAAGCTGAATGGGTTTCAATGATTATGTAAGGATGGCTCGTCGGAAAACTCTAGGAAGCCTTAAGAAGCCCAGAAAGAGCTGAAGACATTCCATTCAATCACTGCTAGGGGAATATTCTAGAATGTCAACCTGTAGCTTCCCCATTGGATGGATAAGAATGACCTCTTTGTGCCTATTGATTGTTCGAAATGATAATCTACTCTCAGTCAAAAAACTATAAGTACATGAGATTTCTGCACTATATTTTGACACTGCTTTGGGGAACAAACTACTACTTACTAGTCTTCTCTCTTGCGACGTTCAGGGTTCGATCGTTCAAGTAGTCTAGTAGTAGGCGGCATAGTAAGAATCAAAGCTCTAGATATAACAGATTATTTAATTCTAACCACTTCATGATTTCAAATCCGGACTAGTATATATGCATAGACTAGAAAATCCTGTAATATGATTATCGAATAATTCTTTCAAGATTTCATTTTACCGTGTACATTTGCCTAGTTATTCCTGTAGTTGTAAACGGTCTATTTATAGGTAGATACTTTAGTCATTCAAGCAGTTCATCATTCTTTTCTAGATCAGGATTTTAACACTGTTCAGTGCAATTTTCTTTAAGTAGCTAAGGTATAATTGATTAAGTTGTACTGTAAAAAATCTTTTAGTATCGTTATGACTTGATCAACGTCGTCGCTAATTTGTTATGACCCCACAAATTAAACAAGGACGTAACTCGCGTGAATTATCCACTAATAGAAATACGAATTCTCCGATCTTAACACAGTGACAATCAAGGACGTCCAATCAGTATGAGTAATCTCGCGTCCTCATTGGTCCTTAATCCGCCTAGCCCGTCAAAGAAATCGATCGATATTTAAATCAATGTCTATATGTGTATTTCTATTTTCTCATCGAATTTATTATTTTCTTTTCGTTTCTTTTTTTTTCATTTTTCTATATAAATTATAGGGATGTTTAGGACTGTAATTGATCAGTGTCTTATTGGTATATGTGTATCCTGTGAGTATTGCCTTGATATAGTCTTCATTCACAAGGATTATAAGCAAACATGGATAGTGGTTAACATTGGAATCCAGTTTGACTCGCGATACTTCGTCCTATTTAGGACTCGTCAGCTGCATGTACTTACATCTCAGAGTTGATGTTCACTCCGAGACTTGATCCCAATACCGTTCACCCCATCGCACCAGCAGGTGGCAATCAGGACTCATTAGCTCAGTGGATAACGCGATGGCGTTTGAAGCAAACGGTACTGGGTTCGAGTTCGAGAGTGAATATCAACTCTGAAATACAGGTACATCCAACTGACGAGTCCCAAATAGGACGAAGTGACGCGCATCAAACTGGATTCCACTACTATCCACTATCCATCTTTACTTATAACGAATAGATTGTTTAGAAATATTAACTATACTGTAAACAGATAAAATCATTTCGATTAAAGAATAAATCCTAATTGTGTAAATTTTAGTTAATCATATTCTGCATAATTCTCTCGGTTGAAGAGTTCATTTAATACACAAACTTCACACACACGAAAATTCTAGAATTTTCTTAGTCTACCTACTAGCACTGATCTGTTGCAAATGGGCTAGCGATTTCGATCGACATCTTTGATGCATTTGTTTAACCCATGTTTAAACGCAACGGTTTTCATACTGTTCCTTTCGAATCTTTTGTGTATTATTTTATACTACTAATTTATATTCAGTAAGTAGCTGTATCCAAGCAATTTGTACGCATATGTTGTAGTGAAAGCTTGTCGTGTGATATTCTGAAATATTTACATATACTTATAACACTTAATGTATTTATAATTAAAATTACTTTGTCTTGATCATTGTAGCAGTTGTTCACAATCTTATGCATTTACTTAACCCATATTTAAACGCAACGGTTTTTATATTGTTTACTTTTGGTCAAAGAACTAAAATCATGTTGAATTGAGCTGCTGAACGTGTGATCCGTGTATCATGACAATAAAGTCTGCCTAACGGACAGTACTGCACTCCTTCTTTGTGTGGAGTTATGTCGGTGTCATTTCCAATTGTACCAGCTTCGATTCATTAATTTCGATACGTTTCACTGTAAACCTACTTTTATGCAAACTAAATGAAACAGGAATCACATGCATGTTGAAAGTATTGGGAAAATAATTAAACAAGAATTTGCAATCAGTAGAATATTGTAGAAAGATGATTGAAATTCCCGTGTTCCCATATTTCTTTGAATTGATTAACGTTAGACCACAGTCGAAAATCTTAGGGAATTGGCAGCAATCAAACAATGGGACATCGACCTCGCGCCCGAACACATGACCTCTTGAAAAACGGTATGAATGTCAGAAGTTACTCAGCCAACAACATTTGATATTGTGGGAATTCAGGATGAACGAACCTCTTCAGTTATTATTGTCACTGTAGGTGTTAGTCGATAGGATTTAAGAATGATGCAGATGGTCTGTTATAAGTTACACAACATTTTTATTGATCAGGATGACTTTGTTGGTAAAGTTGTCTGAAACATTCAGTACTGCAGAACTACTTTTATGTTTTACAAATATGCAAAATATGGTATGTTTTATGTCATTGGTTTCATTTTATTTTAACTATGGGTGGCCAACAAATTTTCCAAAATATCGGTTTATCGTCAAATTATGAATACAAGTTATGTGAACCGATTGGACGCCATGAAATGTTGTCAGCACGTCCTAAATATGAGTGATGAGGAATCCAACAATCAGCATGCTGTTGGTTTGAATGTTTTAAGCGACCGGAAGGCTGAAGTCGGTTGATTTCCATTCACATCTTCACTTTTATTGTTGATAGAGATAAAGGTAATGAAAATTTCCAGTAAATACCTATCTACATGTGTTTTCATACAAAATAAGTCAAATGAAGAAATCTTTAACGAACCTCATTTCTTTAGATTGTTGGTTGATACATTTTGTGATAGAACCCTTCGTAAATATCGAATGATCACTCGCTTCAGACGAACTACATGCCAAATGAAGTTTGATCAGTTGTGTGGGGTAGAGAACTGATGAATCTGTGTAAGGAAGTCGTTTCATTCAACCATTCATTACTTCATCATATTTATGAAATTGGCAATAAACCCCTCCGAATCAAATATCATTATTTCAACAATTTCTCAATGAATGCCAAATCATTGGATAAATTTCTTCATATATTTTGTGTTTCTGTAGAATCCGTGATCCGACCTCTTTCTATTTTGACGACTCTGTCAAACTAAACAATACCTCTCAACATTTTATTACAAACAACGGTATGTGATTGGAAAAGCAAACTAAATGCCAACATGTAAAGAAAATTATGTGAAATACGTCAACCAGCTGAAATTCAAATCAACATTTGGTTCTGAATGGAGCAAGAATAACAAGACCAGCAGAATTGCATGAATCCAACTTCATTTCTCTCACAACAAAGAAATGATGGAGTCAACAGTTCACAAAGACAAAACGGTGTGAAAATCTTATATCACGAAATTCTATCATCACGTCAATATAATGATTGAAAGCATTCGAAATATTGGAACCAGGTACAGAGAAATCATAAGTTCGTGAAATCATACAGATGTCCTTGTTATTTAAAACATTATTTCAGTGAAATGTGACAAACTGTGCAGTAAGATTTCAATCTGCTTGTAGTAACTTTCATTATCCCCGACTGACCGTATTTCATTTATTCTGTACTGATGCGAAGGTGTTCCAAAGTAACGATCAAACGAATAAACTCGTCAGCCTCACATGCTGGTAGTACAGTTTTGATTAGTCGATATTTTTGAATCATCGTCAAAATGTAAGTTATTGATTAACTAATGGTCAGTGTAAGTGAGTTTAACGTATTCAACTTCTGAATGATATTTCCGTTCATTGACTCTGTTACAGTAAAACCTAGTAATAAGAAATAGTCTGCCAATTGACGTACTCACCAAGGTAATCAATCAATCAATCAATCAAGATCGCTTGTGTTAACCACTTTGTAAGAAGTTGAGAAACTTCAAGGTGATTTCAAAGTGATTATGTTTGTCACACACTGCATTTGACAACTGAGAGATAGACTGTGTCAATCAAGCAAGTGTATAAATATAGTTGTTAGAGGATTGTCAGTTCAAGCACATTTTTCTTGATGCCGATTTCTCAGCACATTATATTCCAATAAGTTTATTTAATAAACAAAGAAGAGGAGTGAGAGGAATCGAAAACCTCATACATATGTTGAGTAGATAAACTACGTGGCATTGAATGTGATGTCATTTTGAGAAGATTAGGAATGTCTACAGCGTTTTCAGTTACAAACATATATGCCAATACACGTTACCGATTCATGGTTTATATGTAATAAGATAAAAGCCTGTTTGGCTTTAAAAAGACATTGGATGTCCATCGACAACCATATTTATTATGATTTCATAGAAAAAATGATGACCAACAGTATAGAATGGCAGTTTATCTGGAAGAATTGAAAAAGCCTAACTGTTAATGTCGCGTCACTCCTTGAAACATATAACCTCTTTATGTAATAAGTTATACTGCGTACTTAAAAAAACATTCGCTGTTAACAATATGTAAAATGCGGAAGCAGTTACAAAGAGACACTC